ATGGACCATTCCATGCCATTTTTTCTGTCATAAATATAATATTTCTTAAAAAAACAGTCTACATTTCCATAAACAGTACAATCATTTTCAAATAATACCGTACAAATTTCCATAAATAGTCCAATATTTAAAAAACAGTACAATCATTTCCAAATAAAACAGTCCACTTTTGCATAAACAGTCCAGCATTGTTTCCAACAGTCCAGTTATTTTCGAATACAACAGTTCATATTTTCATAAACAGTCCAGCATTTTAAAAACAATCCAGATTTGCATAAGCAGTCCACCATTTAAAAAAACAGTCCAATATTTTCCTAATAAAACAGTCTAGATTTCCATAAACAATCCAATGTTTAAAAAACAGTCCAAATTTCCTAATATAACTGTCCACATCGAATTTTCGAATAAATTCAATATTTTTATACTGAATATTCTAATTCAAATTTAATAAGACCAATAATTAATTAATTTAATACAATGCGATTAAAGGAAACAAATAACATCAACGCAATACTAACCTTGACGATAACAATTTTCAGGCGTAAAAAACATGTTCAAACTGGAGACCTCTTTATTTTTTTTCTTCCCGTTCAAAACTTTCTAGATCTAGTAATAGTGTCAATTCTTCTTCATATATAAACCTAAAAACGGATTTTACATTTCCGTTTTTTTGATTAAAGCCTGCGACACCAGTGATTCGTACAGATTATCAGTGTCAGACCAATAATGCGGCTGACAACCTGATAACAAGAAAATGGAATCCCGTTTTCCGTTTATTGGATGACACGAAAAACGGAATTGAGTCTTCCGTTTTTTTGTTAATAAGGAAACGAAATTTCAATTTCCGTTTAACGTTTTTCCTAATATTTCTTATCTTTTTATTTCGAGCGAAATTTTTTTTTCAATTTTAACTATTTTAAAAATTAAAACAAGGAAACGGATATTGAAAGTCCATTTTTTAAATTATAGTTTAAAAAACGGAAAACGCATTTCTGACACATGTTTTCAGGACAAAAAAATAATTAAAATATAAATTTCTTCCCCTTTTTTTTTGGTCTATTTAGGGAAATGACCCGTTGTAGTCGCCATTGAGCAAAAATACAGATCACCCACTTCCATGATACTTTTTCATTTCTTTCTGACTCACTCACCCAATTTTGAACAAATTTTTGCTCCGTTTATCCAAATTTTGATTTTTTGAGGAGGTGATCTAGATCTCAATTTTCAGAAATCTAAGTTCTCATACCCATCCAAACACCTCAACCATTAAATCAAGAGATCTCCATGTGGCAGCATCTTTTCCTCCGAGACTACCTCCTCCTCCGATCTAAGAAGCATCGGCGGCGACATCGGACAACCAGGAGATGAACGACTGAGGTAACTAGGTTAGGGATGGCGACGACAGACGCAGAAGAAAGCTCCCTAATCTATTTACAAGCGGAGGTGATGAATAGTCTCTGATTGATGATGATGCTGATGATGAACAATAGTGGAATGGCGACCGGCGTCGGATGAAGAGTCCTAAGAGGCCGAGTTTTACCGGCTTTTATTCTTTCGATTATTCTTTATCACTCCGGGAAGAGAGAGAAACGAGGAAATAAAGGGAATCGAATTGCTAATTAAATTTTAACTCGGGGTAAAATTGGAAGTTCAAGGTAATGATGAGTTGTACATTGTTGGGTTGACTAAATTAAAAATATTGTACATTTTGAGACTGGACTATTTTTGTGAGACGGAGGGAAATATAAATTCAAAAACTTCTTCTTTTTCTTTGTTTTTTTTTTTCATCTTCTCCTCCTTTTCTAACACTATAAAATAATAGGAAAACCTATAAAAATAAAAGTAATATGATTGGCTAATTACAAATAAAAAGTTCCTTTCACCCTAATTGAATATTCTATCACTGAATGGTATTGGGGGGGGGGGAATAAATATCGCAAAAATTGATTAATTATGATATTACATTACCACATATTAAATGTTATCCGCACGATGTGTGGGACCAAAAAAATTTACACTTATTCTCTCAGGAGATAAGAATATTTGATGATGAGATATAAAACTCAATCAATTGTTTATAATAAATAAATTCTCCATACATAATAGTTAATATTACTGACAGTAAACACATTGTTATAAGCGTAAGATAATCACAACATGCTACCAAAATATATAGTAGCACTTATAACATTGGTGTATCAAAATTTGACATAGGATCAGTGTTTATTGAATTTACTCTAAATAATTTTTCGAAATGCCCAAAAACTTTCAAAAAAAAAAAAAAATCCCCTATTAAGCAAATCTTTGACATGATTTTTTTTTAAAAAAAGGGATCAATAATGGTTTCTCGCTTACCCCCGCCGTAACTCGAACCCGTGATTTATTGATCAACAGGTGAGACGTCTTACCATTAAGTTGCACCTTGTTGTTAATCTTTGACATGATTCAATTTAGTTATTCAAATTAATAAAACCATACATAATACTCGAACACATTTTTTATTTATAGCATTTCAAATTATTTTCTACAATTCACTCCACAAATCAATCCACTGTAAAAATATTTTAAAACTATTATCAAAGTTTCATAGTAGAAACAAAAAATAAATCACAAAGTTATTGGGAGAAAGCATATATAAATATATTACATCAACTTACACTAAATTATAAATTCTTTGCTTCATGCTCTAAAACACTTAAAAAGAATTGGGTGAGCAAATATATATCAAAGAAAAAAATAGAATTTGAAAAAATTAAATAACAACATGTACATCCTCTTTAGTTGCAGCACCAAAGTTCTCAGATTTGCTTCACCCAATGGGTCTGTGAACATGATAATGAAAAATATCGTTTGGTAATAATAGCAAAAAAGAAAAATTTTGGAAGAAATTTCTTTGACTTGTAATATTCATAGTTATCAGAAGTAATAATCTTCATTCAATTACTTGGTAACAACAATGACAATTATGTATTGTACCTCCAGGCTCTAATAATGAGAATAGTGTTTTTAAATTATGCAAGGCAATAACAACGGTATAACAGATTTCTACACATATTCATTCTAAAAAAACATCCATTAGGGAAATATATAAAAATAGCACACATATAAAATAATCTATTTGAAAAAGATACAAACATAGCTTAGCATATGCAATATTGCTATCCAAAAAATAATAAAGATATTTTTGAAATGACATAGTTGTCGATGTTTATACCTCAACTCTCATGATCTTTTTTCTGAAAGTATGTTCCACCGTAACCTACAAAAGTAAAGAGAAAAACATATAATTAGACCTTGTCATATTTATAAGAAGAAGAAATAATAGAGTATATATTATTTTTCCCCGTTAATGAATGTGGGAGAAGGAGCGAAGGGTGAAACTGATTTCTATTCTAATTTATAGATAAGGTTTGGTGATAGAGATATGCTTAATGAGGATTAATTTGCTTATGATATGATTGATGTTTTAAAATTTGAATTTTGAATAGTATAATGAAATCAAATTGTTTCAATTTAATTTTTGGAAATAACGGGGAAGGTTTGTTTACGTACCATAATTTTGGAGATTATTGATAAGGTTTGATTGCAGTGCATTAATGTTGATTGATTATTAATGCATTATTATCTTTTTTGAATAATTTGTTTTTTTTTATTACCAAATATTCGAATTTGCTTGGGGGAATGGATTTTATTGCATTAATTGATTAGAATTAGAATTGTACGTTAATTAAAGATTGTGACCGTCAATTAACTCTTACAATCTTTCCACTTGCAACTAATATTTTAAATGAGATGTGATAAGATTTATTTTCAGAAAATACTAAGGACTATTAGTGTAATTATGTAAACGTTTTTTCCACATTGATGATTAAATATTAATTACATATTAATGTTGATAGATTGGCATTGATTAATTTTAATTATTTATGATTTATTTTCAAAATAATACATATTCAATTAAACGGCCATTACTATAAAATTAGGTGTGATAAAATTTATTTCTATAAAATCTCAAGACTTATAGTGTAATTGCATAAATTTTTTTTGTGAGATTTTCTATAAAATATCACCTAAGATTTTATCCTTGGTAACAACGCGAAAACTCTTTTTGAAACCTCTCTATAGTTTCTTCTCTTAATATAATACTCTTAGTATAATACTATAGATTGTTAGTCATCCTTAGGAGTAAAATATGAACTAATTAATGCGGCTTCTTTAAGTAACTAATGAAGAAGAAAAAGGGGAACGAATGTAGCATAGTAGCAAGTAGACGTTTGAAGTTTTGAACTGAATTTCCCTCTTTTAGTGCTGTTGATAACATATGGGGGGAAAACGAAAGAAAAGTTGAAATGTTTTCCCTCCTGAGTTCTCTCAAGTCTCAACACAAAGGGGTGGAAAGAAACCCGCTTTATTATTATTTTTTAGGTTTATTTTTTTAATTATAAAAAAGGAAGCCCGCTTTAAATTAGGCTAACAGGCTCACTCTGATGACTCTCACATCCATGGGAAAGAAATGGAATCAGGGATCAATTACAAAGGTAGTCCTAATTGTAGTAAATTAATTTTAATAGAGTAAGGTTCTTCTGCTGGCCAAAATCCAAACCAAACGATACAAAAGGCTTTTTTTTGGCCCCAAAGAAAAAAGATAAAGTACAGAAGAAAAGGAAGAAACAGAGGGTAGAAGGGATTATAATATTAAAAAAAGAGAGAGTCTACCGTTACTGTCTCGGCCTCAGCACGAATTCCCACACAACAAACGTTGTTACTATTTTATTTGTAGTGTGTTTTGTGTCCGTTGTGTCATCAATCTCTGTACTGCTTACTACTCTCACTTCCTAACCGCTATTAGTAGGAGTACTTATTAGTACTTACTCTTGTTATTGTTTGCTCTTCTTCCTCCATCTCTCATTACTTCCGAGCTGTTTCTTCTTTCATTTCAAAGTCTTTCTTTATCACCTGTTTATCTTCCACTTCCATTTTGTTGGGTTGGGTTGTTAATTATGGATTCCGACGACACTATTCAGCAATTAGGTAATAATGTTGGAGACAAGGTTTTGCTGGAGTCGGTGCCCGCTTCCTGTGATGGGGCTCCTGTGCTTGAGGAGATCCGGGTTGAGATTGACACCTCGGCCCCCATCGAGTCCGTCAAGCAGGCCGCTTCTCGCTTCGGCGGCATGGGATTCTGGCGACCCAATTTCAAGCCCCAAAATCCACCGGTCTGTAACTTTATTTATTTATATTTATTTCTTTTGGGGCAAAAAAAAAAAAGGGTGTCTTTGGCTGTATAGCTCTGCATTCTATAAAATACTCGTAATGCACACACTGTTTGTTAGATTTGCAAACAATTGATGCAACCTCCATCGTTCATACTATGAATTTCCTGCATTTGTGTAAGTTTGGATAGGGTAGTTACTTTGCGGTTTGACGTTTACTGAGGTTAGAAGTTACATTCGCTACATAAACATGCTTATATTTAGTTTAAGGATGCTGTTTTTGCAAGCTACATAGAGTAGCATAACTATGATTGCTGGAAATGAAGGCTCCCTTTTAATGCTCTTTTGAGCTGAGAAATGTTCTGATTTTTTGGATACAAGTTGTCTTCTGTTTTCATTTTTTTTACTAGAAAAAAAAAGACACCATTTTTATGTGAGATGTTGTTCAGAGTTTATAGAACTAACAGTTGATGTTGATTATTGATGATGGCGATGACAGATACTCATCAAGCTACAACACATTTATATGCGTACATTTTTCTTTTTTTCTGCTGCTCTTTCGTGTTTGTTGCAGCCAAATTTGTATTGAGGGTTATTATAGTTGTTGTTGTGTCAACAGGACAACATTGAAGCAACAGAAATTGCAGAATTGGAGGAACAAGCTGCCCAGTTGGAAAAGGACCTCGTGGCTAAAGAAAGAGAAACACTTGATGTCTTAAAAGAACTCGAGAATACGAAAATGGTGGTGGAGGAGCTAAAGGCACATTTGCAGAAAGAAGGTTCTGAAGTATACCTCGATGAAGCTGCTCTGGGTTATAAGGATGATGATGTCGATGCGATTGATAATAATACTGGTGCTGGTGGTTTCAATGTTTGCCTGCCCTCATCGGCTCCTGGCTACATATTGTTGGAGCTGAAACAGGCAAAGTTGAACCTAACTAAAACCACAGATAGCCTTGCTGCGATTCGTGCCTCAGTCGAATCATATAATAGAAAGATCGAGAAAGAGAGGATCTCGCTTGAGAAGACTCGCCAGCGGCTTTCATCCAGTGTCGTGAAAGTTTCAAATCTGGAAACAGAGCTGAACCAGACCAAAGACAAACTGGAGCTGATAAAAGGTGGTCCTGGTGATGATGATTTAGCGAAGGAATTGCAGAGGTTGAGTGCCGAGACTGAGGGATTTAAGAAAGTTGGCGAAGCCGCAAGGGCAGAAGTTTCGAGGGCAGTTTCAGAGATTGAACAGGCGAAGATTCGGATCAAGACCACAGAGATTAGGTTAGTGGCTGCAAAGAAAATGAAAGAAGCGGCTAGGGCAGCCGAGGCTGTTGCTCTTGCTGAGATTAAGGCAATGTCGAACAGCACGGATAACCCTGAAGTCGTGACTATTGGCTTTGATGAGTACTCAAGTCTTGTGTCCCGAGCTCAGGAAGCTGAGGCGGCTCAAGAGAGTAAGTTAGCTGATGTGATGGCTCAAGTGGATGAAGCTAATGTGTCGAAAGATGCAATATTGAAGAAAGTAGAAGAAGCTACAGAAGAAGTGAAGAGTAGCAAGAGGGCGTTGGAAGAAGCATTGAGCAGAGTGGAGAATGCTAATAGAGGCAAATTGGCTGTCGAAGAGGCGTTGCGAAAGTGGAGATCAGAACGAGGGCAGAAAAGGCGCCCGGGCAGTGCCACACAAAATACGACGAAGTTCAAGAAAGATTCTTCGCGGCTGCAGATTGTGAATGATGATCTGAGCTTGGCTAATGAGGAGGAGCTGCTAAAAACAGTTCCAGCTGTAAAGCCAACAATTTCCATAGGGCAAATACTGAGCAGGAAGCTGCTGTTGACGGAAGAATTTGGAAAGGGGGGCGCAATGAAAAACAGCGGTAGTATTGGGAAGCGTAAAGTGTCGTTAGCCCAAATGCTAGGAAAGCACTATGCAGCTGCACCCGGTGCAGGTGGAGGCGCTGAAAATGCAAAACAGCAGCAACAAATCCCGGCGGCAAAGAGGAAGAAGTTTGGGCTTGCTAGGATATCATTACTGGTAACAAAGCAGCAGCAGCAGCAGCAACAGCAAAGCCAGAAAAAGAAGAAGAAACAAAGTGGATTCTCTTCCTCTGGTTGCATGATGTCTCAATAAAAAAAAAAGAAGATAGAGAATCAGTGGAAATGGGATTTCGGTTTCCCAGCGATTAACATTAATTAGATATGTTGTGTGTGAGTTTACTGGTCACTACTACATACAACAAGGAGTTGTAGTTGATGATGATGAATTTGTTCCATTGGTGCGTGTGAGTCAGGAGTAGTAAGACAAATGGATTTGGTGTGAGTATTTGACGTGTGAATTGAAAGTATGATCTCGTATGATTGTTTTCCATTTTTTAGATAAAAATGTCCTGCATTTGGAGTGCTTCAGACAGATTGAAGCTTTTTGGGGTTTGGGAGAGTTTGGATTGGATTTGGCAATCCTTCCAATGGTCCCGCAAGAAGTTAAATTGGGCGTGAGACCCCATTTGTGTTTCTTTTGATAGTTTCAAACCAAAAATCTACTCAACATGCGAGACTAGCCGAGGGACGGGAACCACATTATTAATATTATAAGGCATTTTGATTTGTATTACGTTTCATTTTTTTAATTGAAAAAAAAACATTAAAAATATTTTCTAATGATTAGGAGAATACAACGAATTTAGTTTTTTTTCCTTAATTAAAAATACATCTTAGGTGAAACCTATGACAATTCAAGATGTATTATAATAAGAACAGAGGGAGTAATATTCTATCATCATTTCAAAAAAGTCCAACTTCAGAAATGTATATTTTATTAAAATTTCACTTATGAGATTGTTATAATCTAAAAATAATTATTAAATTGATAAATAATTACGATACTTTATTTAATATTTATGTTAATTTTTTAATAATTATTAGGATGAAGAAACGGAAAAAAAAAAATCCAGCCGTTTACGTGTTGGAGTAGAAGTAGAGAAAGTGTGGGGTCCGCTCTCCGTTCCGTCTCGCCAATCCGCAATGTAATCAGATTTAACTTCTTTTTCCAATCAGATTTCAGAAGAGAGCTGGAGGTGGGTGTTAGAAGAGAAAGGGAATATCCTTCAACACAAATACAATACCCAATTTACAAGTCAATTTCCTCTGAATATTTGCAGGCAGGCAGAGTTCCAGACGCCTCTCTCCCTCTCTCTGTCTCAATCAATCTAATAAGATTCCTCAGGTAATCTTTCTCTTCCCCTTCACCTCAATTATGTTTATTTCGATTGCTTTTCATCCCCTTAGGGTTTGATTTCATGATCAATTATCGTAATCATTTGCTTTCCTGTTTTCAAACATAGTACTGTTTTGTGGTTTCTTATTATTAGGAAACATTCTTTTCGCACACCTCATACAATCTGTTGTTTTGTGAGTAAACCACGCTGCCTGCTCGTTTCTCATGACAAATTTTGTTTCTTATTTTGTGTATTTTGAGCTATTAAAGGGAACATAATTCTCTCCGACTGATGATCTCCTATTTTACCATTTAGTTGCTTATCAATGCTTGTCTGATTGTTCTTAAATAGTGTATTTGCCTTTGGTCAACCTTGTTCAAGCTGACTATTCTGTTCTGACGCAAGGGGCAATCGTAATCATTAATCAAGTGAAAATTCTTATTCTGATTGACATGTTGTATATTGTGCGTCCTTAACCAGCCAGCCTGCAGCCAAGTTTCCGCATTAGTGCTATCTATGTTTGACTTTAGCAGGCACTGAGTTTCATATGTTTAATTTGATTTCCCTGTCATTTTGCAGAATGTATTTCAGAGTTCTTGTGTTCGTTGCTCTTCTGAGCATTAACTGCTGCGTCACTGCTTCAAATTTGGAGACCACTAATTTCATTCCCACCCATAGCCGCATTGCTTCAGGTAGTTCCTTCATTTTTGCTCCCCAAAGCTTGACTTCAAGTGCCTATTTTTTATAGTTGCCATGTTCTGCGTGCTTCCGAGTTTTTAGTTTGCTCATGAAAATTTTGGTTATTTTTGTTCATGCTGATACTTTCTCCCCATGCCGAATTGCCAATTTTAGAATAATGTCTCTTTGTGAGAAAATTTACGCTTTTCTTTAGCGTGCTCTACAAGATGCTGAAATTGGTACTTCTTGTATTTAGCTTTGTTTGTTCATTCCTCGATCTCCACAACTTCACAAGGAGAGATTCTTTTGTTTAGGAAAGAACATGAAATCTCATTGGCATTTTAATAGTTGTTTTCTGAACTGATATTTCTGAAGGACAAGTTATTAGCTTTTATTGATGTTTGGGTGCTTATGTGGTTGAAGTTTAGCACTTTTTCTCATTCCAATGTTGTTTTCTTCTGCAGCGTTGCACAATTATGACCAGCTGACACTGCCAGATAGGGAAGCTCAATCTGCTTCTGAACTCAGTAAAAATGACCAAGTGTGTGTAATGTGTGAACAGTTCACTGAGCAGGCTGTTACTTATCTAGCAAACAACAAAACCCAGAAAGAAATCATTCAGATGCTTCACAAGAGTTGCTCTAAGATCCGTAATTTCAAAAAGCAGGTAATCACACTGCGCAGTCATTTGCAATTCATTTCAAGCAGAAGTTTTTACTTATCATTTTGTTTTGTTTTCTTGTTTAAGTTTTTCATTTTATTCAGTCATTTTCTCAACTATCCCATGTTTTATGGTTTTCCTTTTCCTACTGGCAGTGCATCACTTTGGTGGACTATTATGCACCTCTCTTCTTTATGGAGGTTTCCAGTATACAACCCCAGGATTTCTGCGAAAAGGTTGACCTTTGTGAGAAAATTGTATTAATCTCCCAACAGCTTTCTAAGAATAGCTGTGATTTGTGCCATAACGTTGTTACGGAGGCCGTACTGAAATTAAAAGATCCCGATACTCAGGTATAGTTTTTGCATTCAATTGACTGCTTGAAAATGCTTTTGTGACGATAGGCTGTTTATGAAGATGCTTTTCATATTTGTCTCTCCTCGACGAGATAGTATTCTGATCCTTAAAGTCTTAGCTTTATGGTGTAGTTTTACACCAATTCCACTCATTTGCACTATTATTCTGCAACATAAATAAAATATGATGCAAGCTTTTGATCAGTATAAATGATGGTCATCCGAGTAGTTCTTGGTGGAACTTATTTCTTGTCACTCGATGGTGAACTTATCTGAGTCCATATGTGCTACCTGTCACAATCATGCTGTCTCTTGTTTTGATCCTCGGAAATTTTTGTGTGCTTTTCAGTTGGAGATAATCGAGGTGCTTCTGAAGGCATGCGATTCTGTGCAGGGCTATGTGAAGAAGGTAAAAACCCTTTAGACATTTTCCATCATTGCTAAAGCTTATTCATCTTTCTTTATAAGCTGGTTTTCAATAACTCCTCTAAAGTGTGCTAGTTTCTGAATTAGATTTTGTCCATAATGTAAAATGTATGAAATGGGTTTTGTTGGAAGGGTCCAGCATTTGCACTCTAAATTTCCAATGTCTAGTTCTCACTGTTCTGATCGGCAGACTTGCAAAGGCCAAGAGTTATCATTAAACATGCTTTTGACATATGTGAACATCATTATGGGTATAACCAGTTCGAAATATTGTTTGTGTTTGCAGTGTAAGAGATTGGTGTTTGAATATGCACCTGTGATCCTCATTAACGCAGAGGAATTTCTGGAGACCAAAGATATATGTTCCCTCCTGCACGCTTGTGATGCAGAAGCATTGGCCAGCGCCGAAGCTGAAACTGAAACATCATCGCTCCACGCTGCATCTTGAAGAAAGTGCATGTGTTGAGCATGGATCAACTATTGTTGTTGTACACAATTATACCCTTTTAAAACCCTCTTTTGGATTGTGCAAATTGTTGTTGTGGGTTCTGGTCTAAAGGTTTTAAACGTCTCTGGGCTAGGTTGTAAATCATGTAAACTGGCCTCAGTGCCAGAGTTAGTCTCAGAGATGTTTGCGTCAATATTAGGTTTCTTGTTATGATACACTATTACCGGAACCTGAATGAAATGATGTGAGAGGTTTCAACAAATGTCATTGATTAAAACGTATGGGCTGCAGAATCGAAATAGGAGTCGGAGTCAAATCGGTACAACAGTCCTGTTTCTTTATAGCCACTGTTTGTTACTTGGTGCTTGTCTCAATATAATTGGCAAGATGATCATTTAGGGAGAAATGGAGTATGATACCATGCAAAAGTTACAAGTAAACTAAAAATAAGACAAAAAACCAAAGCTACAAAATTGATTCAAAATGTGAGCGGTAGGAGGCAAACGTGTAGAGTTATTGCAAAGTGAAGTCAGCACCACTGAGAAAAAGGAATGGAGGATGCAACTTCTTTGTGTAGTATGTCGTCTATATAACTTTGGGTATTAAAGTAAGTGTCCACTCTGCATGGATCACCAAAAACCCCTAACCTTTTTTGAGTATATGCAAAAACAGGATAATGTTGATTACTATTCCATGGTTGTGATTTCCGAGTCACACCCAAATAAGTCATTCAGCTGTATCGCCCACACGCATGAATAAGGAGGCAGATTTTGGGTTTGTGTTCTGCGTCTTTGCAGTTGCAGCAGCATACATATTGAGAGAGTCTGTGTCAAAGAATTAGGGTCTACATTCCCAATCTGTGTGCCTTTGGTGTATGTTGATGATTAGGAATGGGAGTGGTGAGTATATTTTGTGAGACATTATTAGTACCATTGAGTGTGCTGGTTACATTAGGGTACCATGCATACTTGTGCCACAGTTTGAGGCGGCATCCAGGGGTGACCACCATAGGTTTCAACTGCATCAAGCGGAGAAGCTGGCTTCACCAACTCAACCAGGGGGACGACAAGCAGGGGATGCTCGCAGTCCAGAGTTTGAGGAACACATTGATGGGTTCCATACTCACCGGGACCGTCACCATCATCATAACCCTCTGCTTGGGTGCCCTCATCAACAACACCTTCAACGTTTTCCATCATTTCCGCAGGATGATCCTCTTTTCCGTGGTCACCGACACCAGCGCACCCACCGGACTTGAGTCCAAGATCATTGCCATCAAGTACGGATCCGCTTACATCTTCTTGGTCACAAGCTTCTTGAGCAGCTCTCTGGGCATCTCCTACCTGGTGGATGCCAACTTTTTGATAAATGCCGTCGGTGGGGAATTGGACGCCGAGTACACCAGGACGGTGCTGGAACGAGGGTTCACCCTGGTGGCGGTGGCGAATCGGGTGCTTTGCCTCACGCTGCCGTTGCTGTTATGGATGTTTGGGTCGGTTCCTATGTTCATCTCCTCCCTGGCTCTGGTTTGGCTTCTCTATCAACTTGATTTCCCCCCTGCCCAACTCCATTACACCTCCTCCCACCTGTCAACTAGTACTACTTAGTTTGTTTACACTGAATCGCACTTGGATTATTATTACGGGTAGTAAAATGAAATACAAAACAATGCTACGCGAATATTATTTACTTATCCTACTCCCAACTTTTTACTCAGCACTTCATCCATTTCATATTATTGATTTTGGCACAAAACTTCATAACAAATTTGACCAAAAAAACAATCTATCATTCATTTGTGATAAATAAATTCATACCGTAAAATGTGACTGTTTTTTTATGAAATGGAACTAATAGTTCGCACTGACTATACAACATGTTGTTATTGTGCGCACATTATTAGCAGTAAAAAGACAGTGACGGTTTTTAGGAAAGAAGAAACCATTTTACTATTCCTTAAATACTCAGCTGTGTAAAGCGTGGTTTTAAGTATAATGATTAGTTTTTGGATTGGGTGGAGAGAGAGGATGTTGTTAAAACTACTTCCATAACTGGGACTGAATAGCCATCCATCCGTGATGTACCCGATTTCCATTCCTAGCTAATTCTGCTCCTCTATTTCTCCCCATTTCTTTTCTGATCCGTATGTATGTATTAGTCGCACTGTACTACCCATAGTTTCATTCAAAACGAACATTACATAAACATATAAGGTTTTTTTCTTTTAACTTTTTGGTGAAAGAATGCATTATTAGTTAATGCTTATACCTTTGACAAATGACACCTACCAGTACTAGAGTCCACTACAAAAAACAACCTTAAGGTAAGATTGTCAATCCCTAACACCACCCGTACATGAATCGGACACAAACATGATACCAAAAAAAAGGGATTTGAGTTGATATTTTAAACTCATATAATGAACGGGTTAGATTCAAGTTATTTTGTTATTAAATAGGTTGGGGTTCGAATTAGTACAGAAATATCCATTAAACCCTAGTAATAGCAAATCACATAGTATTATTCTAAATGCAACTATAATTTTAATCTCACTTTATGTTAACAAATAAACAAAACTTCTCAACATTCTCATTTTCTTGTCCCTTTAAAATTTTAAACGGATATCACTTTTTCTCAAATATAAATGATAAATTACACATTCACTTATTACTTTTAATATTCTTTTTTATATATAATTTTATATTTTTTTCTGGGAAAAAATAATTTGTTAAATGAATCCAACCTGAGTAACCTAATTAATAAAGTTTCCGTGAAGGTTAAATATCTCTTAGTGTATAATTAAACGGGTTGAGCTCAGATTTAGATTAAAAAAAATTTTAAAAAAAATCTGACTAGGTCTAGCCAATCTATCAACTTGGACCCAACGCATTTTAACAATCCTACCTTAATGTTGTGGACAAAGTTTAAAATTTACAAGACAAACGGTATCGGAACATCGTTAGTATCTCTCATCCCACTTTAAATTTACTTTATTATTCGGTCATTTTAAATTTTGAATAATTTGATGAAATCCCCATAATGGTTGTGTTTTAATATCTCGGGCAAGATTGCATAATTTGTGTAACAATAATGTATTTACATGTGGGCTAGGTAACGATGACTTCAAAAATTTTGTGTTCGGTTCGGAGTTCGGACTATATGATTTGGACTGAAATGTCAATCTTCCAGGTCATCTATATAATTGAATCAATTGATAAAATCAAACACTTTCGAACTAGACCTGCATGTTATTGATATGACCAAGCCCATTATATATTTCTTGATCTCTTTGAAATTAGTCCAAGGCCATTATACATATATGCAGTCACCACTTTCATAAAACTTTTCTTAAAATTATACATTTTTTAAACTCATCTGAATCTAACATTTTGTAATAGAAAAGGGAATATTGGTGGATATATCCCAACGTAACCCTTTGTTAGTCAATTCATCTCAAGATTTTTAAAATTGAGTGATTATATCCCAAGATTTTTAAAATTGAGCGTAACTATCCCTTGACCTGAAATAACACAAAATAAATTAGTTCAACAGGTAAAAATTAGTATTTTCTCTCACTCTCTCTTAATTTTAATATTTTTTTAATAAAATTTTTCCAAACCTGGTTATGACCTTATTATGAAGATGCAATTGATTTTTTTTTAAAATTTTTATAATATCTAAATAATGCATGGTGGATTTTGATTCCACATGTTCCAAACATAAATTGAATAGCGTGTGTTTTTAGGTATTTTTTGTATTAAAATTGTAAAAAAGAGTGTTAGAAATGTAAAAGATATGCTGAAATTGGACAGTAATTAATAAACTATTATGAAAAATCATAAAAAAATTCCAAACAGATTAAAAATCGAGTGATTGTTCAGTAACCGTAACGGTATTTGGGAGAAATGAGGTAATGGCTTGACATAATTAACCAGACTAAAATAAAAATAAAAAAATAAAATAAAATAAAATAAAAATAATTGGCAAAAGAAGTAAATGCCGAACTAAGTAAAATTTATGAAATTAAGTAAAATTTAACCTGTTACTCCAGGTTAACTACATGTCATGGGATGGTTGTGCTCAATTTTAAAAGTTTTGGGATGTAATCACTAAATTTTAAAAGTTTGGGATGAATTGACTAGTAGAGGATAAATGTTGGAATGTATCCGTCAATATTCCCTAATACAAATGTACTGTGCTGAAAAATATATATTATTTTATCCAAAAATAATTGTCCAGTTAGAAATTTTATTTTTAGTTATTGTTGTTTCTCATGCTATGTTTTATTTATTAAAATTTGGCTTACTAATCTGTCACTCAAATGAAATGTAGTCAGAGAAACCAAAGATTCATAGACCAAACTAAAAAATAATCTTTTATCTCGAAAACCATTTTCAAAATAAATAAATAAATAAAACCAAAGACATTTCCAAAAATGTCCGTGAAATCGATACCAAGAAGGCAAGAATGGTTGGTTTGAATTCCATATGTTTTGGGAAAAGTTGGTAGCTGAGAAGAAAGAAACCACAGGCACTTCGCACGCAACTACAGAATATAAGCTAAAACCAAAAAATGGAAAGTTGAGTTTTACGGTGGGGTGGGGATAAAAGTGTAACAATGATGTGCACAAGCCTATTGGGAATTATAAAGCACAATTGACATACAGTAATTTTCAATCAATCGAATTGTTGAATTAATGTTTTTATTTTATTTTTCTTTGGGTATACTAATTAGTAATTAGTGATGAGAAGTACTTCACAAATTGAAACTTTGATTAGGTTAGTTCGTTGTCACTACGAGATACTTGTAAGTCAATATCTAATGATAATTAACAATTGTCGCCCTACCTTTTACGTACTATGATCATCTCCCAATGAGCTTTACAATGTTCTATGCTTCTATTAAGGAGCACATAAAATTAGGAGAGGGGATCTATATATAGCTCTATGTCAATCTATTATTTTCCGACAAGCGCACAAATTATAAAGAAAAATGAGAAGAATAACGAAATGAATGAAAGGGGGTGGTTGTTGAACGGTAGATACTGTGGAGTTGCTATCAATTCAATTGGTGTGAATTGCGTTTTCATGGATTTATTCCGAAAACGATTTCCTCCGATGCGCGCATGCTTGTCACTTTCTTCCATTGTTTTTTCCCGTTTTCAATTTAGGTACACATGATTTTATGTACTTGGTTTAGTTAAGTGTTGTGAGTATTATAAATGTAGCTAGTACAACTATTTTGTCCATGCATAAAATTGCCGACCGTTTCATTTTGCTGGAAAAATATCTAGTAGATTCACAGGGTTACAAGAAGGGGGATCGTGTGGACTACATATAAATAGCGGAGGACCAATTTTGTGGGAAAGTAACAACAGAATGAAAAACAAGACTAATAATGAGGGTCTTTTTTTTTTGGAGGAGGAGGAATCGCGAAAATGGTGTATGAATTTGACCCTGTGGGATATTCTTTCTTCTGGTTGATGACTGCGACTTTGTAACCCATTTTAACGAAGCACATCACAGTCGCGGTCCCTCGCATTTTATGCCCTCTTTTCAGTTTTCATAATTAGATCTTATTCTTCATCTTCTTTGCCCAATGCAGTACATTGGAATCCCTTTGTCTTCCTAGTTTCACTCTTTTATGTACTACTATCTCATTGTAACATGTTTTGATATGGACTAAATGGTGTTGATTGAATTGGACCTAACTATAATTAAAGGTTATCATAAAAAATGAGTGTATATATACATATAGTGTACTACTTATGAAACGAAAATGATAGGGGTAAAGATATATGGATGCTAAAGTATATCTTCAATATAAAATCTGAGCTCAAAGTTAAAAATAAACGAAACTCAACATGTGTTTTGTGAGGCCAGACAGCTTAGGCTAATAAGGCTGATTGATATACAAATGAAAAAATCGCACAGACCCACCCGCGGGGGAGGGGGGGGGAATCCAAAATCTGTGGTTCCGAGGGGGTTTAATTACTGAGTTTTGGATGCATCACATGATTTTTTGTGGCAGTAAAAGAAAATACTAGTAATAAAAATTGTAGCATTTTCATGACGCTGACGGTGTGTGAAAACTGAAAACGAGTATTACATGTGCGTGTATGTGTGGGTGGGGACACACTGGTCGTAATTTATGCACAATGTGAATCAAGGGTGAATTATGTACCACATCAATTATCCACGCCGTATCTTCTACAAATCGTAAGTACTATAGTGGTAAAAATCCAAACTAACATGTTTCTCGTTATATAAGAAAAATAATAAGTAATTCTTTAACCCCCCAACCCCAAAAAAAAGAAAAAGAAAAAGAGAGAGCAATCGGAGTAACAATAATGCTGTTTTTATCACAACTTATGGTAACAATATTCGAACACGAGTAAACTTAATTGATTACTCATCATCAGCTTAAAGCCTGAAAGGTTTTGTGTTAAATTTGGTCATACATGCCTGGCTTTAGGACCCATTTTTCCAATACAATGTCTGGGTTTGAATAGTTAGTACGGTAAATATGTAGAGACAGAGATTAGTACCGGTCAAATTCTCTACTACTTGTCATCCTTTTGACATTTCCCAAACGGACTTTCTCCCTA